GGCGGGGAAAAAAGGGTTCTCATTAGGGGCAACTTCAGATTGGATCCCGAATTTAATCACTACAAAGTTGCAGCAGAATGGTGAGGTTGAGCTTGCTATAACAATAAGGGCCACTTGCAAAAGTCAGACCCGAGTCCAGTTTCATGTTTCAGATCCCTCCCCTCTGCCTGCCCCCCGCCCCCCAAAAGTATTTGATTTATTTGTTCTAATAAGTTCAGAAAATGTTGTGACTTTATTTCTGTATTCATTTACTGTTTCAATACAAATAACCTGAAACAATAATTGGCCTACATGTTCCTTACTCTAGAAATGTAAATGTCCTGTTGTTTGAATTCAGCAGTGATAAAACCTACACTTTTATTTATTTCCACCCCGACCCATAGTTGCAAGGAGAGGAATAGGGCTGGAATATTGAGCTATGGTGCTGGTCAGGTTTGGCTAGATCATGGAATCATAGAAAATTAGGGTTGGAAGGGACCTCAGGAGGTCATATAGTTCAACCCCTTGCTCAAAGCAGGACCAACTAGATCATCCCAGCCTGGATTCTGTTAATTGGGCCTTAAAAACCTCGAAGGTTGGAAATTCCACTGCCTCTTTAGGTAACTTGTTCCAGTGCTTCACCACTCTCCTAGTGAGAGAGTTTTTCCTAATATTGAATCTAAACCTCCCTTGCTGCAACTTGAGCCTGTTGCTCCTTTTTCTGTCATCTGCCACCACTGAGAACAGTCCAGCTCCATCTTCTTTTGAACTACTCCTCAGGTAGTTAAAGGCTGCTATCAAATCTCCTTTCAGTCTTCTCTTCTCCAAACTAAATAAACCCAGTTCCCTCAGCCTCTCCTAATAAGCCATGAGCCCTAGCCCCCAAACCATTTTCATAGCTCTCCGCTGGACTCTCTCCAACTTGTCCCAAAACTGGACACAGTACTCCAGATGTGACCTCACCAGTGCAGAACAGAGCGGAATAATTACTTTCTGGATCTGCTGGCAACACTCCTACTAAAGCACCCCAGTGTGCTGTTATCCTACTTGGCAACAAAGGCACAATGCTGACTCATATTTATCTTATTGTCCACTGTAACCCCCAGATACTTTTCTGCAGAGCTGCTGATTAGCCAGCCGGTCCTCAGGCTTTCAGTGCATGGGATTCATCATAGAAGGCAATCAGGTTGGTTAGGCATGGCACCAGTTATTTCATCATAGAGGGCAATCAGGCTGGTCAAGCATGACTTGCTCCTGGTGAATCATAGAATCATACAAAATGAGGGTTGGAAGGAATCTCAGGAGGTCATCCAGTCCAACCCGCCGCTCAAAGCAGTACCATCCCCAACTAGATCATTCCAGCCAAAGCTCTGTCTAGACAGACTTTGAAAATCTCCAAGGATGGCACTTCTACCACCTCTCTGGGTAACCTGCTTCAGTGTTTTACTACCCTTCTAGTGAGAAAATTCTTCCTAATATCTAACCTAAACTTCTCTTGCTGCAACTTGAGACCGTTGCTCCTTATTCTGTCATCTGCCATCACTGAGAACAGTCGAGCTCCATCCTCTTTCATACCCCCCTTCAAGTAGTTGAAGGTTGCTATTAAACCCCCCTCAATCTCCTCTTCTCTAGACTAAATAAGCACAGTTCCCCCCAGCCTTTCCTCATAAGTCATGTCCCCCAGCCCCCTCACCATTTCTGTTGCCTTCCACTGGACTCTCTCCAATTTGTCCACATCCTTTCTGCAGTGAGTGCCCAAAACTGAACACAGTACTCCAGATGTGGCTTCATCAGTGCTGAATAGAGGGGGCAAAGTCAAAAGCTCCAGGTGAGGAGCATGAATCCATGTTGACTTCGTAGTTGCTGTCTTCTCCTCCAAGTGCTTAGAAATGGATTCTTTGAGGACCTGCTCCATGATTTTTCCAGGGATTGAAGTGAAGTTGACTGGTCTGTAGTTTCCCAGATCATCCTTCTTTCCTTTCTTAAAGATGGGTACTATTATTTGCCCTTTTCCAATCATCCAGGACCTTCCCTGATTTTCAAGGATAATGGCCAGCAGCTCTATAATCAGAGTCAGGGGTGAAAACACACCCATGTTCCTGAGCTGGATCCAGATTGCAAGAAACCTCATAGATCTAATTTGATTCTGGAGCCAGCAGTGGTAATGGGGTAAGCAACAGTGCTGGGAGGTTGCTAAGGCTATGGTTTACCCCCTGCCCTTGCCATCAGTTGCTTACCCCTTCCCTTGCCAACAAAGCTTGGTAGCTAGGAATTTGGCAGCAGGCCTCTCCCCCAAATTCCCAGTCCCTCTAAGAGTCCTGTGGGCCACATTCCACCTGTACAGCATATGTTCAACACGCCTGTGCAACTTGGTAGGTTGGGTGAGGACTTGGCATTTTTTATCTCCAATAAGACAAAACTCTTTTTTCCTCTCCCCACTTTTCCTGCATCTGCATAAGTCCATGTAACTCCAAAATCTTTAGATCCTGATTAGATCTGCCCACTGGGCCCCTGCTGCAGAGCTAGAACTTTCCTGAGCAATAGGAACAGAAAGAAATTATGCTGATTTACTTTATGGTCTATATCAAACCTGACCAGTGTCTATTGCCAGGGGAGGATGATGCTATAATTTTGTTTTCTATTTCAAAGTGTAAGTCAATAATGGAATCTCAGTGAGTCTTGTGCTAATCCAAGGGATGTTTCATGCATATATCAGGGTTAGTCTCCAGTAGGGTATTTGACCAGTCAAATAACGTTCAGTCAATTGACCGGTCAAATATTGGTCAAAAATTGTAAAAAAAATTGTCAGTGGGCCCAACTAATATGCAGAAAAAAGCACAAATTTTCCACTAAGAAATGTGCCAAAAAACAAACAAAAAATCATATTTCTGTCAAGAAAACTACAAAAAATGTAGTCTGTCTTTTCTTTCTTTCTTTCTGTAAAATTGCTATAATCATTGACTGGTCAAAAATATGCAGTCAATGGACCAGACAATTAACTGGCTTGCTGACCCTAGTTTCCAGAGTGTCATGTGATTTTTTTCAATATGTTAACACCAATGGCATTTGCACCATGTATATACAGATGATCCCTGTTATTGTAATATATTTTTTGTACTGAAGCATATTTAGCTTTTTTTCCCTTAGCAATCTAAGGCCTCATTTGTGATTTGAGGCCTTTTATTTAAAAAAAATAAAATCAAAAGATGAGTTCTCATAAAGTCATAGAAATTTAGAAATATAACTTAATGTGTACATCACAGAGTTGTCATGCCTAAGGAATCTGCCAAAGGAAGCTTTTCGTTTTGTATAACAGTATTGCTGACTATAAGGGCTCTAGCATCATAGACTGGCCCCAAAGTCACGTGCTTTTTAACAAAGATAATATTGTGTCTTTTGACGTTGGAATGCCCCTTGCCCATTCCCAGTAAGTGTGTGTCAGTTGTGTTACCCACTCTCCCAAATATATTGAGAGGTGACTGTGACCCCTGCAGCCAGATTTTTCATTCCACATCCATACTCCGCTATTAATTCTGCTTGCCAGCCTACAAGTTGATCCTGTCCCCAGTCCTCCCAGCTGTTTCTCTTCCACATTTCCCCTCTGCCCAGCCTCCAGACAACCGTAGGTCAGTTCTTCCCCTATATCAGTGCTGTCTGTTAATTACCCTCACCTCTGATTCTCTGAGGGCATTGCATTTCCATGTCCCGGGCTATCTTCCAGGTTGAGGGAGGAAGGCTGTTCTCAGGGTTGTCACTTTCTTCCCAGGCTTCATGCTATGGGGAGTAGAAGGGATACAAGCACAGGAAACAGCATTTTGCTCACAGAAAGGGAGCTGCCTCTGTGGTGTTGCAGTTGTGTGCATATATAAATTTCATTCCTCAGCCTACTTTTTTCTGTGCATTAATCTTGAGGCATTGTGCAATGAGAGCTGGATATAAGCATAAATATGACATTAGAAGAAAACAGGTTAGGTTGAATCTTGCCATCCTTATGCATGTGAAACCCCCAGTGATCAAAAAGAGAGTTTAGCTTGAATAAGGATGGCTGGGAACTTAGGTCTACATTTCTTTAATTCTCACTTTTAACTCTAGTTTTAAGGAAACTAAAGAGCATCTAAGATTGCTCCATCAACATCAGTACAAGATGAGCATGAATAATGCAAATTGTATGTGTTAATAATATCACTAGATGTATTCTTGTTTCTGCACAATAATACAGTTACAAATTGTTCAAGGTGTTGTGAATGTATTTCTAAACTGCCAAACCACTGAGATATGCTGTTGTACAATACATAACTGTGGGCATGTATATGAACCATTTTAATCATTTAATATTATCTAAGCTTTCTTCTGGATTTTCTTGAATGCAAAGATAGCATTTATCTCTGTTGTAAGGATGGTGTAGTTCAAACCATGTCAATGATGAGGCTGGTTACTGAAGGGATTGTTTCCTACCATTACCATGTTCAGACTCCAGCAGAAAGGTTCAGGACAGAACGGGTATGGAGCACAAACTCTCAAGAAAACATTAATGTATCCTCCTCAGGCTGTTCCTGGTCTATGAATAAACAGACGACTTAATCCATCTACCTCTTTTCATATGCAAAAGAAAAAAGTGCAAACAAAATCCAATTAGTTGATTCATCAGAAGAATGTCCGTTTGAAGCTATGCTAGTAAAAATACCCTTAAACAGCTAAAGTTTGTCTTTCTTTAATTTGGGAGGGGGGAGGAGGGAGAAATCCAGAAGAGAGTAGTCCAGCTCCTCTAGAGTACATTGAAACCTAGTAGGAAATGTATTTACAGTTATATTAACAGTTATACTAACATTTGCTCTAACAATTATGAATATAGTTCCAAGAGAAGATTGTATATATGGCTTTGTGGATGCAGAGTTTCTACCATAGTTCAGTTACAAGACTGATGCTAGTCTACATTTTGTACCAAAATATCATGTTCTGTGCACTGTATTTACTGTTATACCTAAATATGTACTCTATACACA